TATTATTATTCATGGAATTTGTTCAAAATGACTCCCTTGATTCCTTATACAAGATCTAAAACTCTTTCTGATTTCCACTGTCGTTGTTATAAGCCGCATTTCTTCTTTCATTTTTGTGAAAGCGTAATAATTTATTTTATGACCTTAAAAAAGACATAGCTGATTTTATGGAGGTGAAAGTGAAAACATTGCCGCAAATTTGTGATCCAACTTGGCTTTATGACTTGGTATTTCTGGTAGACATCACAGGCACTTAAACGACCTGAACTTGAAGCTTAAAGAACAAGGGCAATTGGTAAATCAGCTGTTCAGTCATCTTAAAGCTTTTCAAAACAAAATTCGCTTGTGGGAAATACAAATGAGAAGTAAAAACTGTTTTCATGTTTTAACATTATCCAGTCACGAAAACATTGAATACGGTCGCTATGCTGAAGAACTGGAACTACTGTCACAGCAATTCACTAATCGATTTTTCGATTTTAAAAATATGCATAGCACTTTTAATATTTTTGCAAATCCTTGTAAGTGCAATGTGGAAGATGCTCGGCTTCACCTACAAATGGAGTTGATCAGGCTTCAAGAAGCCTCGTATTTGAAGTCTAAATTTGATGATGTGGAACTAAGCGAATTTTACAGAACATACCTTTCCGAAGAAAAGTATCCACAGCTGAAAGTTTTCGCACGAAAAATAATTTGCACATTCGGAAGCACGCATAAATGTGAGCAGCTTTTTTCAATCATAAAATTGAATAAAAATAAGCATCGTACTCGGTTTACAGATGTTAATTTAGAAAACACTGCGCCTATGTACTACTGATATTGACCCCAATATTGATCATCGTGTTTCTCAGCTTCAAACTCAAGTATCTTATTAATTTTTATTTGATTTTTCTATCCTTTTTTATTAATTTACTTTTGTTTATGCTATTAAAATTAATAAATAATTTTGTGAATTTTTGTGGCTTTTTTATTCACTACCTGCTACCTACTTATTTCTTGCCTACGGTCGGCGACCTGATTAAGTCCCGAAATTACGCCCTCTGCTAAGTAAAGGTTGCCATACCTGATTTAAACCAATGCATTAAACAACTTTTTTGAAATAATAGTACAGTGAAAGACTTGGTATAGAATAAGGATGGGATAGCATTAGATCTAGGAAACGGTAAGAAATACGGACGGGATGGCTCAAATTAGAAAAAAGTTGGGTTTTTTATACCTAACAATATGCCGCTTAGAAAATTCCTGGTAGTTCCGCAGATATCCGGCAAAACCCGAAATTTTGCAAAATCGCTTTATGTTTTTTTCTGGCTTTATTTGAAAACAAATTTTAAAATAAATTGCATATTTACATTGCCACTTTTTTGCTCTATCAAATGGCGTCAACATTTTTGTAATCCGACGTTTAGTCTTCAAGGGGTCATCAACAGGTAATTTTTTTTAAATACGTCGCTGCTATTTTTATGACAAAATCTAGTCATTTTTAATTCTGAATTAGATGATATTACTGTTGTAATCGCTAAAAAAGGTTTTTAGCTTGTTTTAGCTATCATTTAAAATTTATCCTGAGTACGGCTCTGAACGCTTTCAAAATATCTATTGGAGGAAGTCATAACAGTATAAAAGTCAATACAGCACAAAATATTCAACAGTTTTTTTTTTACTACCATTAGTAATACTAATTAGAAATAAGAAAACATTTAATAAATTTGTATTATTTTTTTATTAGGTATAACTTTTTCAATTATTGATTAAAAAAAATTGTTGGATATTTTGCGCTGTATTAACTTTTATACTGTTATGACTTCTTTCAATAGATATTTTGAAAGCGTTCAGAGCCGTACTCAGGAAAAATTTTAAATGATAGCTAAAACATACACATAGCTAAAAACCTTTAATACTAATATCATCTAAATCAGAATTAAAAATGACTTTAGATTTTGTCATAAAAATAGCAGCGACGTATTTAAAAAAAAACCTGATGTAAACCCCGCGAAGACAACTTCGGATTGCAAAAATGTTGACGCCATTAGATAGAGCGAAAAAAGTGGCAATGTAAATATGTAATTTATTTTAAAATTCGTTTTCAAATAAAGTCAGAAAAAATACCACGATTTTGCAAAATTTCGGATTTTTCCGGATATCTCCGGAACTACCCGGAATTTTAAAACTTGTTAGGTATAAAAATACACAACTTTTTTCTCCCGACAACCTTTTTCTCATTACAGTCGCAATTTAAAGAAAATTAAAAATGCAATAAATTTTTTTGTGAAATTCAAATACAAAAGAGACATATTTTGGGAAATTTTCTCTCACTTGTTCTAAATATAAGATAGATTATGATTGCATCTTTCTAATCTTCCAGGGTCATGCGCCTTTGGCATCGACTGTAACAGCTTTAAATATCCCAACGCCGAATTCCGCAAGATGGGCCACAAACTTTTCCACGAATTCAGTTTCATGGACAAAATCAATCTCATTCTTTCAGTTTCCGCCCCAAATCTAGCCCTAAAACTGGTAGTAAGAAATATACAAAAAGATGTATCGCGTTTCTTTTTACGGAGCATCCAAGATACCGTTAACCACAGAGAGAAGAATAACGTACGGAGAAACGATTTACTACAGTTGCTGATTGACATGAAGAATTCAAATGTGCAGTTGACTATCAACGAGCTGGTGGGACATGTATTTGCATTCTTTGTTGCTGGTTTCGAAACTTCTTCATCGACGACTACTATGGCTCTTTTTGAGATTAGTAAGAGTGAAGACGCCCAGAACAGAATCCGAGAAGAAATAATGGAAACCTTGAAGAAATATGACAATAAACTCACCTACAAGGCCATATCTGAAATGAAATACCTTGCACACGCTGTCGATGGCAAGTAACAAATATCACAATAAAACTATGTCATAAACTATGTTTTCAGCAATAGTTTAGTTTTCAGCAATAAGTTTACGACAAATCTCTTTTTTCCCGATACTTGATACAAAAAAGTCGAGTACAGATAGATGAGGTCAAAATAATATCAGATCTTCATATACATTTTTTTCATTAGGGCCTTCGTTAATAAGTTACGAGCCCTCAAAGGTAAAAATTAAAAAGTTATTTTTATTTACAGTCTCTAAACTATTCTCTAACTTCAGCATGATGCAAATTTGGTGATCGATAAAACATGCTATAGCTTGATTTTGATGTTGTAAGTAAAACTTCGTTATGCTCAGAACGCCAGGGACGAACTATGCCCAATGGTTAACAGCCCAGAATTTTTGCAAAGATGTCGATCACAATCTGCCTGTTTAAAAAATAAGTTCCCTGGAGAATTTGTCAACCTCTTGGTTCACCTCGGTAAAATTAACAGTTTAGGAAATATTTGTGATTTTATGTCACAGTGCACATCGAGCGGCGCCTCTACCATTTCTTGTTTTTAATTTTTAATTGGACGTAATTACTCTGTTAAAAGAGTACAAATTTTTAAAATAAGAGCCTAGAAAATTGTACTATCTGCCAGTGTAATTTTCACTAACAAAATTTGACAAACACAGTTTACAGATAACACAAAATAGAAAAACCAAAACAAGAATAAGTTAAAGTATGTTAAAAAATAATTTAAAGGAAAGAAAACCATCAAAATACATTTTCAATAGGGGCACGTTCCACCTCCACATACTTCCTAAGGCTACGAATGTTTTTTGTTCGTACACAATAAGCATTTCTGGGGTATGTCTAATATTATCACAATAGAAATTAATTCTTTGTAGCAATTCATCCCTTGTCCGTACTGGGGTTGAGTACACTAAACTTGTCAGGTATCCCTACAGGAAGAAATCCATCGGGTTACTATGGAGAACGTGGTGGCCATAAAATTGGGCCTCCTCTCCCATAATTTTCCAAAAAATCCAAATATCGATGCCCATTCAGACGTTCCTCATAAACGTATGGACCTATTAAATTATTACCCACTATTCCTGCCCATACATACAAATAATAGCATTCTTAATTCCCATGACTTACATTTATGGGATGAAGACAATCCTCACGGTACTGTGCTAACAAAAGTCCAGCACCGATTCATAATTAATGTATGAGCACGAATAGTGGGTAATAGGTCTATACGTTTTTGAGAAAAGTCTGAATGGACATTGATATTTGGTGTTGAATACTTAACTTACTTTAACTTATTCTTGTTTTGTATTTCTGTTTTATGTTATCTGTAAAGTGTGTTTGTCAAATTTTGTTAGTGAAAATTACATTAGCAGACAGTAAGGCTTTCTACATAGTTATTATGTCCGATAAAAAATTAAAAACAGAAAATGGTGGAGGCGCCGCTCGATGTGCACCATGACATAAAATCACAATCATCTATACTATGCAAAAATAATGTGTTGTTAACCATTTGACACAGTCCGTTCCTGACATTCTGGGCACAATGAAGTTTCACTTACAACATATTTTATTTATATTTAAACCAAATACATAATTAATTAATACAGTTGATGATTTTAGTGGCAGATTAATAAAAACTTCAATTGTGTTATTAAGTACATACATGCTTTGATACAACGACACTCTCTTCTTCTTCTTCTTCTTTTCCTAGTGGTTGATCCCATGGGACCTATTGTGCGTCCCAGTACTTAGTTATTCAGCAACTAGTTTTCTCCTTTTAACAGTCCAAAAGCTTCCTTGCTGACACTTCTTCTTAGCTCTTTGGGTTCCAAATAAGGTCTCCCCAGGAGCGTCATTCTACTACGTGCAAATCCCGGGCACTTGACTAGAATATGCAGAGAAGTTTCATGCACCGAGCCACATCCTTGGCAAACCGGACTGTTTTATGTAGATGTTTCCTAAAGTGACAGTGTCCTATTATGAGTCCCGTCACTATCCTGAGCCGAATTTGCTTGCTGAGCAACTCATTTGATCTTTCCTTCAAAAGATATTCCACGAGCTCCTTAGAATGGCTATGCCCTGGCCTTGAAGTCCAGTATTTCCTGTGTTCTGTCACAGTCCAGAGCCCGCCTGAGATTACAACGATATTACTAACTATCGTATCTTCGATATAGGTCTGCTCGGCAATCTTTTTAGGAACTTTATACAGATTATTTATTTTAGGTTGAATGTACATTTTTAGGATTACATGGAGAATATTGTCTTGTTATTAAATTTGATACAGTCGCTCCACATTCTTTGTCGGTAATACAATCTTAGTTTTAGTATTATCTAAATGAAACGCACTAACCGATTTTCGGTCATTAACATTAACATATGCAAACACTACTAATAAAACCAATATCAATATACTAAAATCAATAAATCATGAAACTTTATAAGGAATTCTCTCGAATTCTTGCTTCGAACAGCTATAATATCAAAGTTCAGCATAAAACTCATCCACGGTGACACAGCTAAATCATTGATGTGTTATAAGAATTTATTTTTTAAGTGGTTTCCTTTTAATAATAAGATTTATCGATGTAGAGGGTGTCATATATTCGGGAGCTGCTTTATCTCAAAAATTTAAACAAGGAAACAAATCATCCAAGTGAGGCGCTTTATTAGGATATCTTAGGTACTGTTAGTAAAATATTTAGAAGAACAGAAAAATGATGTTGCAATAAGTAAATGTGTTTTGCTGAAACATGGTTGCCACTACAACAAAAAAATGTCTTGTTTAATGGCTCACTTGGAATTATATTTTATTCAATTTTATCGATCTATCTCAAGTGTGTCCGAGTAAGTGAATGTATTTTATGAATTTCAGTTGGGAGTAGTGAGCTCCTATTTGTAGGATTATTTTGAATAAATATGGTACTCAGATTAAACGCTATTTTCCAATTTTATTATAATTAAGTACACGAATATTACAAACTTTCAGAAACCCTCCGGATTTGGTCCCCGGTATCTACAATAAAAAGAGTGTGTACAAAGGATTACATATTCCAAAATTCAAATATTACGGTTGAGAAAGGGACACCTGTACTGATTCCATCTTTGGGTTTGCATCACGACCCGGAGTACTGGCCTGATCCAGAGCGCTGGGATCATGACCGGTTCAACGAAGATAACAAACAGAACAGACGACATTCACTTATTTGCCATTTGGAGAAGGTCCTAGAAATTGTCTAGGTGACGAAAAGAGCATTAATCAATAATTCTTTGAATATAATTAAAACTTTTTGTAGGTTTACGTTTTGGACTATTACAAACAAAAATAGCACTGATAACAATAATTCACGGATACAGAATTAGTCTAAGCCCCAAGACCGTTACCCCTTTGGATAGAGACCCTCGATTTTTCTTGTTGGTTACAAAAAATAAAGTATATCTACGTTTGGAAAAGATTTAACAACTGTTATGAAATTATTCCAACTTTCTTCTTCTGTAGTCTTCTGTTTAGTACTGCTTAAATTGATTTGAAAACCTTTAGTATAAAGCTAAGGTTCGAAGCAAGAAATTTTACAAATTTTAAACATATTGTGCACATTATGTAGTTTTCGAAGGAATATGAATTAAAGATGATTATAACTTTTATGCAGCTTCAATTTACCTTCAGAGCACCCTTAATTAATTGATGTAATTATGTAGGGTTTACGGAATTGACTGAGTCAAACTTCAAGGGTAGCTTATTTGAATAAAAATAAACCGATTTAGATCCAAGATACGTTAGTATAATTTTGCTTCATCAAATACAATTTTCAATTTCAGTTTTTAAGATATTTCACTGAAATTTGCTTTTTAGAACAGCCGAAGATGGGCATAGATTTATGTCTTACCTAAAACATAGGGGTCGTTAAGGATACCTCGTTTATCGTCATATTTATTTTGTTGGCAGAGATTTTGAAGAAAACTTTGTTTTGTGAAACGTGATTTTATTTACTGTAAAATAATAGATGTACCTACTTGTCACATGCCACTGAAATAAATTCTTCGAAGAAATATGGATTGAGTTATTTAGGTGTAATTTAATTTCAAAATTCACTCTTTTTAAAAAATATATACAGAGTATCCCGGTACTTGATACAAAAAAGTCGAGTACAGGTAGATGAGGTTCAAGTACTATCAGTTCTTCCTATAATTTTTTTTCATAGGGACCTTCGTTATCAATTTACCTGCCCTCAAAGGTGAAAATTAAAAAGCTATTTTTATTTACACTCTCTAAACTGCGTACAGCTTGTTTTTGATGTTGTAAGTAAAATTTCATTATGCCCAGAACGCCAGGGAAGGACTATACCCAATGGTTAACAACACAGTATTTTTACATAGGTGACGATCGCAATCTGCCTGTACCAAAAATAAGTTCCCTGAAGAATTTGGAAACGATAATAATCTCTTGGTTCAACTCGGTAAAATTAACAGTTTAGGAAATATTTGTAATTTTATGTCACTGTGCACATCAAGCGCGGCACCTCCACCATTTTTAGTGTTTAATTTTTAATTGGACATAATTACTATGTTAGAACCGTACATATTTTTAAAATAAGAGCCTAGAAAATCTTACTGTCTGCTAATGTAATTTTCATTAACAAAATTTGATGGCTATAACGTTCTCCAGGTTTTAACCCGATGGACTTCTTCCTACCTCAAAAGTGTAGTTTTTAGGGATGAATTGCTAAAAAGAATTAATTTCCATTGCGATAATATTAGACATACCCCGGAAATGCTTTTTCGTGTACAAACAAATAACATTCGTAGACTTAGGAAGTGTGTGGAGGTGGAAAGTGCCCATATTGAACATGTATTTTGATAGTTTTCTTTTTTTTAAATAATTTTTTTAACTTTAACTTATTTTCGTTTTGTTTTTCTACATTATGTTATGTGTAAAATGTGTTTGTCAAATTTTGTTAGTGAGAATTAAGCAGACAGTAAGATTTCCTAGGCGCTTATTTTAAAAATATGTACGCTTCTAACATAGTAATTAAGTGCAATTAAAAATTAAAAACAAAAAATAGTGGAGGTGCCACTTGATTTGTACTGTGATATAAAATCACAAATGTTTCTTAAACTGTTAATTTTATCGAGTTGAACCAAGAGGGTATTATCATTGGCAAATTCTTCAGGGAACTTATTTTTGATAAAGGCAGATTGCGATCGTCATCTAAAATTCTGGGTTGTTAACCATTGGGCCTAGTCCGTCCCTGCCGTTCTGGGCATAATGAAGTTTCACTTACAACATTAAAAACAAGCTATATGCATATGTTATCGATCACTAAATTTGCATCATGCTGAAGTTAATGGTTTAGAGACTAAATAAAAATAACTTTTTAATTTTTACATTTGAGGACCCGTAACTTGTTAACGAAAGCCCGTATGAAAAAAATTTATAGGAAGAACTTATATTATTTTGACCTCATCTACCTCGACTCGACTTTGTTGTATCGAGTACTGGGACACCCTGTATACAGGGGGTCCCAAAAGTGACGCCCGTCCTTCTGGGATTTGATTAAGGAGACAAAAACAAATTGAAAATCAAGAATGGAAAATTTTCCGATTCTTTTTCTTTGTTGAGTTATTCAAAAAAATTATTCAAAAAACTAAAAAGGTGAAAATCAAATTTTTTCTTCTCAAAACTAAGGTCTATGCTTATGGGGACCAAGACAAATAATTTATAACCATTAGTAGGTAAGTATAGTTTCCGATTGTCGATTGTACCTGGGTGTAAGGAATAATTTTAACCAGAAAAGAATAGAGAAAAACATTGTAATAAAACAATTTTATAAAATGGAGAGGAAAAAACCATAACGTGCTTAAATAATAGAAATTGTTTTTACAAAAGATGTTCAAATAAGTTGCCTTCTACTCTAAGACAAAGATAGGCACGATTCAACATTGAAGCTGAACCCTTTGTAGCATCTCTTTATCTATTAATGTGACAGCAGCGTGTATACAGGCTACTACATTTTCTGGATTTACAACAGGTTCGCTGTTGTTCGCTTTTCTTTTAAATAACCCCAAAAAAATCTAGGGGATTCAGATCTGGTGACCTCGGAGGCCATGCAATGGGTCCACCTCTTCCAATCCATCTGCCTGGGAAGTTTTGATTCAGATAATTTCATACTCGCAAACCATAATGTGATGGAGCTCCATCATGTTGAAGTCAATAATTTAGTCTAACTGCTAACGGAACGTCATCCAGCAATGACAATGGTAAGTTTTCATTTAAAAACATACAGTTGCTGTAAATATCGCTCTCAACTACATAATTATTTAATAACCCAGCTCAAATGTTTATTTCTATTTTTTTTAAATAATTATTTTGAATAACAAAGAAAAACAATCTTAAAATTTGATTCCATTCTTGATTTTCGATTTGTTTTTGTCCCCTTAATCAAAACCCAGAAGGACGGGCGTCACTTTTGGGACACCCTGTCCCGGAAATGGTGGGCAATCTCTCGGATATGGATAGATAATGAGAAAATAATGTCACAAGTTCATATAAAATTTTTTCCTCCGGGCTCACCCTGTAGAGTTATTAGCTGTTGATGTTGAAAATTAAAAATGTTTTTTTTGCTGTAACGTTTGTATTTTTGAATAAATTTTGAAAAATTTTTGGCTGGATCTATACTTTTTGAAGCTGCTTTGGATGATAATATGAAGTCCTCGATAATAATTATGGGGGCCCGGGGGCAAAGAACCCCCCACCAAAATTTCTAGAAAAAAAATTTTTGTTCCACTATACCCCAAATTTTTATGGTATTTTTATGGTATTTTACGTAAAAAAGGTATACTTGTTTAATATCCATAAAATATAATTATGTATAATTTTTAACGTGTACTGACAGTTTCTAAAGTGTGATTTTATAACAGTGGTCTTAAAGGAAAATCACATGACTTACTTTTAACACTAGTGCTAAAAATAATTCACTTTTATTACTAGTATCATAAAATAATAAGTGTTGTAAAAGCATTTTACGCACGAATGGAAAAGTTACGCACGACGCCGCGTAGCGGCGAGTGCGTAATTCTATGAGTGCGTAATTGCATTACACCACGTATTACGCAGGACGTAATAGGAATGCAAGATTCCTATTACGTCGTACGGTAAAAAAAACGCACAGCTTGGTAAAAAAATCGTACAGTTTTCCTAGCAACCGCCTAGCAACGGTCAACACAAACAGTATTGTATTGGCAGTTGCTAGGCGGTTGCTAGGAAAACTGTGCGATTTTTTTACCGTACGTAATAGGAATCTTACATTGATCGCAGACGGTGTGTTTTTAAGTATTTACAGTAGTGGTCGTAGGTAATAGTATATTACGTAATAAGTGTTGTAAAAAGCATTTTACGCACGAATGGAAAAGTTACGCACGACGCCGCGTAACGGCGAGTGCGTAATTCCATTACACCACGTATTACGTACTATACTTTACCTACGACCTACTTATTCACACAAAATCATTTAGTTTTATTTCTCCATCTGAACTGGTAACAATATCAATAATTTAATCATTTAAGAACTTGATAACTTCAAGAAGGTATATATTGTAATAATAATAAGTAGTGGTCGTAGGTAAAATTATATACCTTAATGACGTTTGTAGAAAAACAAGTTTAGAGACAACGGTACTGTTTAATTTGTGACATTTTATTTAACAGAAACACAGGTTTAATCGTAGTTGGCTTTTACATATCAGAATAAAGGACAAATAATTTGCAATAGCAGTGTTCCAAATTATGAGAATTTGGACTTTACTAAACTAACTAAACGAAAAGTGCATGACAATCAAAATTTTGTAACTAATATAATTCATAATAAATTCTCAATATTAGTTCCACCTTCTCTCATACAAATACGAGCTAGTTTAACAGAAGACTGTTGCACTCTCCATAACATTTCAGAATTTTGTCGTATTTCATTTGCACAATAAAAAATCCTTTCTTCTAATTCTTCTCTAGTGGTTACAGGTGTGGAATAAACAAGATTTTTCAAGTGCTCCCAAAAGAGAAAGTCAAGTGGGTTCATATCTGGAGTTCGGACAGGCCAATGAATAGGTACACCGCGACCTATCCAGCGATTAGGATATACCTCGTTTAAATGGTTCCTTCCTTATTTCTGATTTCAAGATCAACATCTTCTAACAGTTGTGGTAATTGATGCACAAGGAAATCTAGGTAACGTTGACCATTCAGTCTAGAGGGTAACACAAATGGACCCAA